GCCTCTGCTCCCAGGCACACGTGAGCTACCCTGGCGCCAGCTGCGAGGCCTACACACGGCGGTTTCCCTTCGCTGCGCTCGCTGTGCTGACTCGGAGAGCATGCTTTGTCTCCAGCACATGGTGACTTCCCTTTCTTGGCTTCTAGTTCAGCTTTGCATCTTGGGTTTTAATTTGGTTGTATTTTATCCAGCATTTATTTGTGTTTGTGTGTTTGGAGCGGGCGATCGGGAGGGCGGGGCTGATCCCCGTCAGCTCAGTCTACCATACTGCCTCAAAGTCCAAAACACAATCTGCTAAGAGAGTCTTCTGGCACTCCCTATCACTCCCGGAAACCAAAGTTTGATTTCAGACACGCCAAGTGTGAGCTGTGAAAGGAACATGCGAGCAGAGGGCTGCGTGGAGCAGGCGTGGGAACACGGGGCCAGGGCCGCAGAAGGAGGCTGAGCCTGAGTGGAGGAGACCGCCTGCACTGAGCACAGAAGTGACGGCGGTGTCCTCCGTGCCCTGAGATCCCAAGGGAGAGAGAGTTGATGGGAGGGCGGGAATCAGAGCCGGAGCCTCACAGAACACTTCCACCCAGAGGGTGAGAGGAACAAAAGCGGTCAGGGAGGAGCCAGCCGTCAGAAATGGAAGAAGAGGCCTCAGCCGGTGGAAGGAGATTTTTCAAGAAGGGGGTGACGAAATAGCCGATGTTGTGGCAATGTAAGGAAGGTGAGGGTGAAAATGTCAGCACGGTTCATGACTGGGACCTTCTGGGAAGCAATGCAGGCATGGCTCTGAGGAAGGGCAGAGGAACGAGTGATTGGAGGCGCAAACCTTGGTTTCCTCTGCCCTCCATCTCCTCACCCCCTCACCCATCTTGCCAAGGCTCAGGGAAGCATAAAACAGGCAGCCTATGCTTATGGCCATCTTCTTAACAACATCAGGGTGGGGGTGGGGGGTCCCTGGGGCACCACATCAGACAGAGGCAGAAGAGAAGCCTCCAAAGCCCGAAATATGTGAATGCCACACATGTGCCTCCTCAGGACATCTGCAAAGTGGCTGTTCTCCAAACTGCAGAGCTTGATGACCCTGTGCCTCCCCCCACAGGTGTCTGGAGTGAGAGCCCCACTCCCAGGAGGTTCCCTTCCCAGGTCCCCATCCTGCAGACCAGGCCGCCTGGCCCACTGGCGATCATTTCCCCCCGTTGCTGGAGCTGAGTCAAACCGCCTGGATCGATTCAGTAGGAAAGAGCAAATCACGACAGGAACGTGCAGAGAGTCAGCAGAGCGTGTGTGTGCGAGTGTGTGTGTGAGTGTGTGTGTGTGTGTGTGTGTGTGTGTGTGATGTGTAGCACATGACTATAATTACCGTAGAGAGTGACTCACCCAAACTCCAGGAACTCCATACCCCCAGGTCACTCGTCAATAAGTCGGTCTCCTCCCGGGACCACTCTGACCAGAGAAAAGGTTTCACCATCGTCCCTACTGCTCAGGCCCCAAACCTAGAAATCATTTTCATTCCTTTCCTTTCCTCCTCTCCGACATCCCATCCCACGAACCTGCCAGGTCTGCCTTCAGAGCACCTCCCCCATCGGTCTCCTCCTCCCCTGTCTGCTGCTGCCTCCCCACCCCGACCAACATCACCTCACTCCTGGATGCTGCCTGCACCTCCTGAGCAGGCCCCATTTCCCATCGTGGCCCCTGCACGTCCACCCAGTTTGTTTCCACAAAGTAGCAACGGTAATTTAAAAAATAAAAAAACGAAAAGCAGCTGTAAACCAGACCGTGTCCGGCTCCTGTTTAAAACCCTTCCCCGCACTTCCCCGGGCTCCAAGCCCTTCCCGATGGGCCCCTCCACACCATCTTGCTTCTGTCTCCTCCCGGCCCACAGTGCCCCTACCACGCTGACTCTGAGCTTCCTGATGGCACCACATTTCTTCCCACTGAGGGTCTTTGCACTGGCTGTGCCCTCATGCCGGCCCGGCCACCTCCTCGTGTCACTCGGGTGGTGACGTAGCGCACTCTTCCTTCTCAGAGAGGCCTGCCCTGAAGCCCCGTGTTCCCACCGCCCCCGTCACCCTCTCTCCCACCCTCCTGCCTTGCTCTCCTGTGACACTCTCACACCAGCTGACAGTACTTCACACACCCAACAAACATTCATCCGTCTCTTCTAATACCAGCGAGACGGGGCTTGTGTTCACCCTCCTCAACGATGTGTCTGTCTCCTCTGAACAACACAAGAGCCCGCGAAGGCAGAGCCCTTGCCCAGAGCCTCAGGGTCCGGCATGGAGAAAGCATTCGATAAATGTTTGATTTGCAGAATGAGTAAGAGCCACAGGGTAGTGTGTACTCGGGAAATCAGAATTGACCATTGCTTAGGTCGCATGGCCTTGAGGCGGCCAGTATTCCAAAGAGGCCCCAGTGCTGGGATGAATCAGACCCTGTCTGTGTTTTCCAGGCCAACAGAAGGGGACTCCCTCCCCATTTGTGCAGCAGCAGCATTTATTAACGCCTGCTGTGTGGGAGCCTGTGCTCAGTGTCAGTCTCTGATCCATCCCAATTCCCTCAGCTACCGGCACCCCGCAGCCAGCCACGGACGGGTCAACAGGCTGCCCTGCCCTACAGCTAACAACCACCTGGCCCTCACTGGAGGCCATCCATGGTGCAACCAAGGGGCACACCCATAAGTCCCTTCCGTCCAGGGTTCTCATTTATCCAGGGTTTCATGCCACCCCAGGGATGGCACTCAGGGAGCTGGTCACACCCTGTCCCTGAGGGCCCGTGTGCCAGCCTCACCTCCCAAGAAACACGTGTGCCAATTTCTCCGTGCCCTGTGCCCAGCCTGATTCCGACATCACGTTCCATCACTGACAAGCCACCCAGCTCACTGGCCAAGAACGCGGACTATGCGGCCCAGCAAGGCGTCATACCAGCTCTGGTCCTCGCCAGTTCTGCGATCTTGGTCAGGCCACCACACCTCTTGGAACCTCAGTTTCTTTCTCTGAAAAAATGAAGGCTATAAAAGCACTGACCTTCTTGTGCTGCTGTGGCAGTGGCTCCTGTGCTCCTGCCCTGCTCGGTGGGCCCATGGGTCTCCCCAGCACCACGTTAACGGAAAAGTGGGGAGAGGGGAAACAACTCCTTTTTGGCAATATTTCTGCAGCTAATCTCATTACCAGAATTAACAGCAAGTGGAGGATAAGACTCAGCACATTGAACAAATGCAGGACACACAACACGGGGACACTCAGCTGGGCCCCGGAGACCCAAGGAAAATCCGACCTTGTCGTGTGAAAGAAGGCGGCTGAAAGGCAGAGGCAGACTGTAGATAAAACCACAGAGCAGATGTGCTATGTGCTTGTGACGGCAGGTGTGGAAACAGAATCAGGAAGAAATGCAGCCACCGATTCCACTGCGCTGCGGTGATGTGGACGAAGGGGAAAGAGGATGAATGTGGCCCCCTGCATTTCCCAAACACTCCGTGCCAACCACTGGGCTGGGACCAACAGGGCAGATGGGCGAGAGGTGGCCTGCGAGGCTCCCCTACTGGCCTCACCAACTACACAGCTCATGGGGGTCACTGGGATCACAGTTGCACAGCCAGTAAGGTCTGTGCACCCCGAGCTCCGTAACTCATCTCTCCGAGTCCGCACATAGCTCCCAGCAGCCCGACAACCAACAACAGCATCTAAATAATGGAAAATTCATTTGAAAAAAGAATCTCTAGGCAACTTTCGAAAAAAGCCTCATGGCTCAGATGGACTCGGGGACTCACAGGGCTGGCAACAACGGGAGAAACCAACGGCTTCCAAGCTTGCTCTCAATCTCCCAAGCCATTGCTCAACTGAAATTCACCCAGAAGCCCAGTACGTACAACTGATGTGAACAGAGCGGCGCTGGCAGAAACAGTGCCAAGGTGTCTGCTTGGCACCCTCCTCCTCTCCCCCAGCCCCTGGTGGCCCCCAAGGCAGCTCCACGGAACCCCTGGGACTCCACGAAGCACTGACGTCAAACCACTAATCTAGGCCAACCTCTGAGTAGATACAGGGAACTGAGTCCCACAGAAGTCATGCTCTGAGCGGTGTCTCAACACAAACCCGGTTTCTGACTCCAGGCTGAGACTGCTCGCTCCGCTTTGCTAGGGCTAGGTCTATGGAAAATTGCAATTTAAAAAAACAGGACTCATTTCTGATCACCTACAACATAATCCTTAAGTGTTTTAAAGGCCCCAGAATTAGCCAAGTATGAAACAGAGCCCAGCCCCACAGACTGGCAGAAAGAAGTTCGGAAATGAGTTGCAGAAACACAGCTGACAAGTCCATATAGTTTCCTTCAGTTCCGCGGGACATAAACAGGTCTTGAAAGGCTTGGGCTGTGTGGCTGTGGGAGACCCTGGACCAGGCGGGCCAGGAGGTGAATACTAATGAGCTATGGAAATAGCAATTACTTCCCCCATGTCAGGCACTGTGCCAAGCTAAGGAGGATAAAGAGGTCTGAGATATTTTTAAAGTATTTTTACAGCAGAAAAACTTTCCTACAGACTCAATTATATAACTATCAGACTCCACCTCTGAGCTGAAATTATCCATGGCCTTCAGGAAAAAAAAAAAAAAATCACTTCTCCCTACATGAGGGCCTCAGGTTTCTCCAGAGAATCTCTTAGCTGTACAGCCAGCAGCCCAGGGCAGCGTGAACCATCAGCCCAGAGACCTCCCCAAGAGCAGTTCGGAGCCTGTCACAAGAATGCCAGCCAAGTGGAGGGCAGAAGTCATGTCGCCAACCCAGCCAGCACACATGAAGTCATAGGGTCCAGGAAGGTCCACTCGAGGGCGCTTCCGGCCCCAGCCATGTTGGCGTCCTCACAACTTCCTTCTCCCGAAATGGGGCTGAAGTCCCTGAAGGACAGAAGATGCCTCTCTCGTGGGCAAAGGGCAGGCAGAGAAAGCCTTTGGAGGCTCAAGGAATGAAGAGCTTCAACCCAGTGAAATGAGAGCCAAAAATCAAAGGAATTAACTTACAGCCCAGGTTTTTGTCAGCCTGAAGATGGGTGCACTTTGTAATGCTGATACCACAGACATGAGAGAATGAAGGTTGTTGAGTTCTAGAAGTTTCTGAAAAAAGATATGGAATAGATTATTTTGCTGCTATAAACAACAGAACAAAAACATGCTCAAGTGTTACCAAATGTTGTCATATTTATGAAATTCAATTATACTTAAAAATATCTCATGTCGAAAATATAGTTCTAGGGAGTTCATAGAAACCATATGCTTTTTTTTCCTTCAAACTGTCAAAAGGTGAGTCTGCATCTAAAACACAAAATTTTACAAGCTGACTAGTCTGGTTGCTGGACAGAAACATGGCTCGGGAGAAGGCTTGATAATGTCATTTACGTCCTTTTTTTAGACGAACTGGAACTGTCCCAGCAGGCTTTTGTATACCGAGGCCTCGGCTGTGCCAACAATACCCACGTGGGTCCTCTGCAACTACCTTACACCAGGCAGGAGAGGGGCTGAGGAAAGGTGTTACCGATCTGCACGGTCCCGCTCAGCTAGGGAGACGGAGCTCTGGCTTCTCAGTCACTTGACTGTGCTCCTTTGAACCAACCCCAAGTTAGGGAGAACATTTGGATTCAATTCAGTCTCACACAAGTTCCTTACCATGGAAGACAAGAGAAGGGGACACAGCCGGGAGTAAGTACACAGAGATGTAACTGCTCCGTTCTCGGTTTGGTGCGGAGGGAAACCTAACAGGACTGGGGCTCCGCGTCTCATCCTCGGGAGCCGGGGCAGCCTGGGCTAGTGAGCGGGTTTGAGGAAACCAAGAGATCTGGTTCCAATCCCAGCTCCCACCACTTGTGTGTCCTGCAGCGAGTCACCTGAGCCTCATACTTAACAAGGAAGGTAACCATGGCACCCACCCTACCCAGGATGGTGCATGCAACATGCCAGACCAGTGCCCGGCACCGGGGTGAGAGCTCTAGGAAGGCTGGGGAACCCGCCTGTGTGTTCCCAGAGCAGTGTGCACACCTCCTTAGCACACTGGACCATGTGGACCCTTGCTTCTACCTGTCTCTGCCATCGTATCCCTAGTACGTCGTACAGCACACAGTAGGGCCTATGGAATGAACAAGTAAACGACAAGCCCTTATGCCTAGTCCTCACGGCCCTGTCCCTACTGAGATTTCTCCCTTACCACACAAGTTAATACTTCATTTCATACATCTTGTAACAATCTCTAATTGTTCCCTGTGTGTATTAATAGGTTCTCTGAGAGAAGTGAATTTCATCCTACATATCTGAATTGCCATGCCTGTCACACAGTTTCTTTTAGAGCTGAAGGCCCTCTGGGAGATCACCTAATCCACCCCTTTCATTTTGCAGATGGGATGGCAAGGTCCAGAGGAAGGGGAGCCTACACAAGAACACAGCCAGGGCACAAGGCCAGGATGACGAGCCACCGCTGGAAGATGGCAGAGGTCAAGGAGGGATAGTCTGGGCGCCGTCAGCTCGTTTCTTGAAAGCACCAAGTGGGCTGGAACTTCATCCGCTTTCTCCCGTGGCCCAGCATAAGCTCACTGCCAGCAGCAAGCATCGCAAAGCCCAGCACGGTTCCAAATTCTTCAGAACACACAGGGCGTGCTAATGTCTGCTGCCCCGGGCATACTTATAGATCGATGCCCTTGCCCTTCCCACGAGGGGTGGGAGAGCCGCTCCCCTGAAAGCAGAGACACGCCCCAGGTCACTGGCTGCAGGGCCCCAGGCATGGACGCCCACCTCCCTACACCCCTCCTCCCCGCTCTGGAAGTGGCCTTCTAACAAAGTGAACCTCAAACGTGACCATTTGAGGAAGGTGGCTGCTGAGGTGCCTGGCTCGTGAAGGGCAATCAGTAAAGGCCAGCTGGCCCGGGGACTGGGTAGGGACGCAACACGCACACACACACCCCGCAGCGAACCAGACAGCACAGCAGTGCGCCGCCCAGACGTGGGTAAGCCCGGCGGTCAGCAGCTGCGTACGGCGAGGAGCTGGCAGGGCCGTGGAAGTGATGACAGTGGTCTGGGGAAGCCCATGCTGTCATTGCCTGGGCTGGCAGGTGTCAGGGAAGAGGAGGGGAAAGGCGGGGTGCAGACGTAAGCCCGGTGCTCAACAACCTGCAAGGACAGAACCTATTCGGGCAGGGGCAGAGGTGGGGGTGAGAGCCAGCAGGGTCACGGGGCCCAGGCCTTAAACTCAGGATGCGGTGGGATGAGCTCTGCTGACTGGGGACAAAACTGTGCAGGGTGTGATGGTATCACATAACCCGTCACCCCCCCCCC